CATTCTCTCTTGCCTGCCTCCATGTAGGATGTATCTTTGTGTCTATTTTGCCTTCTGCCATGATTGTGAGGCCTTCCCAGCCATGTGCAACTGTGAGTCCATTAAACCTCTTTTCTTTATAAATTACCCAGTCTTGGGTACATCTTTATTAGCAATGTCAGTACAGACTAACACACTGGGTGATTAAATAAGTGTGTGTGTGTGTGTGTGTGTATACATGTTTGTGAAATATATATGTGCATCCAATATATTTTTAAACACATGGTTATATCATTAAATTTTCATGATCTTTTATATTGATTTTAGTCATTGTCACAATTACTGTATTAAATATTTTCTATTTTACTTTTAGCTTTTAAGTCATGGAAACACTTTTTTCCTGTGGTGGTCTTTCTGTTCTAGCAAGTTTTTTTCCTGCCTATAGGCGATAAAATTGACTCATATAACCCTATCTTTTAAAAAATCTTTCTTTAATTCTTCTTAACCAGTTTTAAATACCACCAGAAAATTTCTGCTTAACCCTACCAAAGTTACTTACTTCCTGTTTTTGCATATCTTTCTTCATCTTAATTTACTGCTCTGACACTCATATTTCTTGCATTTTTCGTTTTTTCACTAAGGACCTGCTCCTAGGGAAATGCATCTTCAGAAATTACTCCGTTTTATAAACTTTGAAGAGTATCCTAGTTTATATAAGCACCATCATTCTTAAAATTTAATTCTTGGAGTGTGTTGCTAAAATATTAAGTATGCAAAAATTATATTCTTTTTGAAAACTATGTGAATAAACTATCCTTAGACAGAGCCATAATAATGGCAGACATATTCTGGCCAGTGATTTGCAGTTTTTAAATAAAACTCATGCATATAGTGTCCTAGTTAAGGGAAAAATCAGAAAAGTCTATGAATCAAGACTAAATACCTAAATCTGGTAGATGAAACAAATCAGCATGGAATTTAAAATAAATTAAAGAGGATCTAACATAAAAACTCTTATGCTTTTGTATTGTTTGGTACTGAATTGGTTGAGAAACTGGGAGTTTATTCTGGGAAAACCTAAGTAGCTTTTACCTAATTGACCAGCCACAGAATATTTTCATTCCAATGGTGCTTGTCATCAGAGAGTGCATTTCAAATTGCTTCATTGCGTGTAAAGTACTTAGAGAGGGACTTTTTTTTCTAGACACATGCTTGGCCTATAATATGTGCCTACACTTGTTTGGAGTGTATAATAGATTTATATTCATTATGTGAGGAGATCTTTATCATTAATTGATCAAAGCTGAAGTACATTTCCTGGGTGAAACTTAGCTTCACCCTTGAAATTTTACAGTGGAATGATGATTGCATATGAAGATACTGGCCCCATCTTTCAATTATTATTAATGATAAATGCTGAGAGCTAAGAAGGGGCACAATTCAAGACTGACTCTAAACCATTGACTTACTCCAAACCATCAGGTGGAATTTCAGAAAATATCTTGTAGGCTGGGTGCAGTGGCTCCCACCTGTAATCTCAGCACTTTGGGAGCTTAAGGAGGATGGATCACTTGAGGCCAGGAGTTCACTACTAGTCTGGTCAACATGGTGAAACCCTG